CCCTAAACTTCCTAAACCCAAAACCCCAAAACCCTAAACCCCCAACCCTAAACCCCAAACCCCAAAACCCTAAACCCCCAACTCTAAACCCCAAACCCCTAAACCCTGAGCTCTGGAAGGCTTTCTCCTGCTTTCGAGGTGCTAAGAACCCGAGCCAGCGATCCCTCAAGCCTGAAACACCGCAGCAGCAGGTCACACGGTTCAGGGTTTAGGGTTCAGGGTTCCCTAAACCCTAAACCTCAACAAAAAAACCCTAAGCCTCCAAAAAAAAACCTACACCTCAAAAACAAATTTAAACCTCAAAAGAAAGCCCTAAAACCTCACACTTACAACGGATAGATCCCTAAACCCTAAACCCTAAACCCTAAACCCTAAACCCTAAATCCTAAACCCCTAAACCCTAAGCCTCCTACACAGAGCTGCACCGAGGACGGGAGTCGAGTCCACGTCAGCCCCGAAACCGATGCTCGGCTTTCGGGTTTGGGGTTTTAGGGGTTTAGGGTTTAGTGGTTTAGGGGTTTAGGGTTTAGGGTTTGGGGGTTAAGGGGGGTTAAGGGTTTAGGGTTTGGGGTTTAGGGTTTGGGGTTTCGGGTTTAGGGGTTTAGGGTTTAGGGTTTGGGGGTTTATGGGTTCAGGGGTTTTAGGGTTTGGGGTTTAGGGTTTAGGGTTTGGGGTTTGTGCAAGCGTCCAATCTATGGGCCTAAATAATTACCGATCCTTGTTCGGATTATAGTATAATCTACGCCAAAGGGCCAAAGCTCTATTCCAATTATTAAGGCCCCTATCTTCTATATAGTAACCCCTTGAAAGGACCCCTTTAAAGGAACACTCCTATTCTAATTTTTACGGCCCCTGCGTCTAACCCTAAAGCCTCAAAGCCCATAGGCGCCTCAGGCAGGGAGTGTAGAGATTGGCGATAAGGGTCTGGGGACGGCCCCATGGCCGGGGTTATTATTATCATTATGGTTACTTTTAGTATTCTTCTTCTTTTTATTGTTACTATTATTGTTGGTAGTAGTATTCTTATTAACGATTATTATGGTTTATTAAAGACTTACTCTTACTGTTATTGTACTCGTATCATTTTTGGTACTGTTATAGTTATTGTATGTTATTGTTATTGTTGTTGTTTGCAGAGTCTTTCGGCATCAGAAGTAAACTTCCCTGAGCCCCCAAGCCGGAAGATTTCTTTGCCCTAAACCCTAAACCCTAAACCCTAAACACTAAACCCAGGCTGGCGATCGCTTCCCCGGTGGTTGGGAGTCTGAGGCTTTCGTCGTTATCCCGATTTTGCCGAACGAGCACAAGATCATGCTCTGGCATCCGGGAAACGAGCGCTTCTTGGCAGCCTCCAACGGGGTTTTAGGGTTAATGGCGTAGGATTCAGGGTTTAGGGTTGAGGGTTTAGGGTTTTGGCAGAGCTTTCCCGCAAGCCTCTTGGCACGATTGCATTTTTCTTGGCTTACAAGGGGCGACCGGGGGAGGAAGGCAGTTCAAATGCACCCTTTCACAGAGCATTCTGGTTGTAAGTAAACAAACAGTGCCCCTAAACCCTTTAGCCCTAAACCCTAAACTCAAGGCATAGGCCCACCTACGGCGGGTGGGCGGCGCTTAAGCCTCTCGCAACCCATCGCGAAAGGCCGACCAGTACGCCAGCCCGCCTTTCTGCAGCCATTGGGACCGTCGCACCCACCTCGCACCCCGTGCCGGAACACGTTCTCCCCGATTCATAAAGTCAATACCCTAAACCCCAAGCCTACTTGGATGTTCAAGGGTAGTTACAAGTGAGGTTATAAGTAGGGTAACTGTAATTAGAACCCAATATTCGGGGACTTATAACTCCACTTGTAACTACCCACGATCCTCCTCAACCCTAAACCCTAAACCCAACATCTTAAACCCTAAACCCTATAGAACGCTTCAACGAATCCTTCTTTGAAATC